ATTTACATTATAAAAGCTAATTAATAAAAGTTATAAATCTAAAGAATAAAGCAGCAGATTGTGTTGAATCACTTCATCACAGTCTCCCATCCTGAGCAAACGGTGGAGAGGAAAAACTCCCTGCTAATCAGGAAGAAACCTCCAGCAGAACCAGGCTCAGGACGGTCTTCAGTCTACATCGATTTTATCCTGGAAGGATTTCCCTTTCTTTAAGTCTTTTTTTTTCTTCTCATCTTCATCAGCCTTCCATTCTTCTAATCCAACTCATGCACTGTATATTTCATGTCATGGCTGCTCTGGCTGTGTTTATTCTTCCTCCCTCATCTTTGCACTGATGCCTGAGCAGCTGTGATTACCTAACACAGGTGGTCCACATTATGCATTCCTTTCTTCCTCTTCTTTCTCACTTATTCACCCTGGATTTGTCTTGTGTATGATGTGTTTGACAGAGTGCTATGCTTTCAAAACAAAGGAATGTGACTATAGAATTGGATTGGGCATAATCGTATCGTGTGCAATTAATCGTCAGTAAAACATTAATCGATTACTTTTTGGCACTTGATGATTAATACGATTGATGCCACCAGGCAGACTGACTGGGGATTACTCCGGTCAGTCCGCTCGGTGCTCCTCTCCGCTTCAAATATGACTAACATTAAAATTAAAGTTCTGTAATTTATTTATCTATCAACACAATTTAAAATATGACATACAGCCTGAAATCTGTAATTTTCACACAACTTGGAACAATTTCTTACAAAGAGCAAATCTTTCCCACTAAATTGGTCATGTGACTACAAAATAAGGGTGTCCAGGGACTCCAGGGGATTAATCGTCAAATTAATCGTTATCGGCTAAATACCACTTGAATACCAATTGTGATTAATTTTTTTTGCCAATATTGCCCAACCCTACAATAGAAGAAAGCCAAGGATGCACTGGTCAACGGTTTCTCTAGTGGAGATGTCAGGGAGGCTTTAAAACAAAACCTTTAGCCTTCTGTCATATTTAGGGCAAAAACAGCTGGATGCTAACTTCTTGCAAATGCTACATCACTGAGTTTATCTCAGACTGGAAGAAGAAAATCAAGTATTTTTTAATAAATTAATTTAGCAAAAAGGCTTCAAAAGTTAAAAGTCCAGGAATCCTTGAAGAAATATTGCCCACTGCTGATCATGTAAGTTTTAGACTCATGACAATCACTAAATGCCCACTCAGTGTGTTCTGAATGACTCTGCTACAAAGTTTAGCTCAATGGGCCTCATGCAAGAACATGTTCGTATTCTTCTCCTAAATTTCTCTTACTTTTGTTCGTATGAAGGGTTCGTACGAACATGTCACGTCAGATTCAACAAACTCTTCTACCTTCAGGAAAAGTGCGTAAATGAGCTGCGTAAATTACTCCCGTTCTATAC